TAATTCACTTATGGGATTTGGGTACCACTGGCAAACCCCCCCAAACAGCCCCGGAGAAGAAGATACTAAGTTGCCCTCTTGAATTGCTGCAGGGGCACGTGCAGCGCTGTTAGGAAGGGAGCTCCAGCAACACTGAAGGGATTGTGATATATTTCCAAGTCAGGATTGTCTGTGGCTTGGAGGGGAACTTGCAGGTGGTGGTGTTCCCATGCATCTGCTGCCCTTGTCCTTCCAGGTGATGAGGGTCACAGTTTCGGATGGTGCTGTCAAAGGATGTTTGATGAGATGCTGCAGTGCATCATGAGGTGCACACTGCTGCCATTGTGTGTTGGAGTAGAAGGAGTGAATGGGATGTGCTATCAGGCTGGCTGCTTTATCCAGGACAATGTCAACTTCTAAAGTATTCAATTACAATCCTGACTTGTACCTTGTACAGGAATCAAGGGGTGAGTCACTCACCACAGAATTCCCAGCCTCTGACCTTCTCTGTAACTATATGTCTGGTCCACTGCACTTTCGAGTCAATTGTTTTGCCTTCTGATGTGGAGTATTCAGTTATGGGAATGCTGTTGATTATCAAGAGGCGATGGTTAGCCTGTTTTGTTGGAGATGGTCATTAGTTAAAACTACTATTGCATGAATGTTCCTTGCCACTTAAGCTGAGTCTGAATGTTGCCCGAGTCTTGCTGTCTGTAGGCACCAGCTGCTTCATTATCTGAGGAGTTGCAAACAGTATGGAACAGTGTGCAATCGTCAGCAAATATCTCCACTCTTGACCTCAATGAAAGGAAGGTCATTAATGAAACAGCTGGAAATGGTTGGTCCTAAGGGACTACACTAGGAGGAAGGGGCTGTTGTGGTATTGTGATAGTGTTCCTACCTCTGGCCAGGAGGCCTGTTCAAGTTCCAGACACATGTAATAACATCTCTGCACCGGCTGATTAAAAATATCAACCGCAGGAGGAAATCCTGCAACAACCTCTTGGGATAAAGAGTTAGAAGTCCAATAATGACAATCATCTTCCTTTGCACCAGTCATGATTCTATCTAGCAGAGTTTTGCCATGATTCACATTGACTCCAGTTTTACGTGCGCTTCCTGCTATCACACTCGATCAAATGTTCCAGCCCCAATCACAACTCTTTGTCCGATACATCGATGGTCTCATCAGTGCTGCTTCCTGCTCTCATCGGAATTGGAAAAATTAATCTGTTTTGCTTCCAATTTCCATTTTACTCTCAGCTTCACCTGGTCCATCTCTGACTTTTCCCTTCCTGGACTTCCTGTATTAATTTCTGGGAATAGGCTGTCCACCAATACTCATCACAAACACACTGTTTCCCACAGTTACCATGACCAAACATCTTCACACTCCAATTCCTGCAAGGAATCCATTCCATTCTCCCAGTTTCTCAAACTCCATGGCATCTGTTCTGATGCTGTTAGTTTCCACCAGAGTGACCCTGAATGTCCTCCTTTTCCTCAATTCAGAAATCCTCCTTTACTGTTTTTGATACAGCTGTTCAGCCCATTTCCCACCCTTCTACCCTTGCTTCTTCCCCCCCACTGCTCCACTTCCCAGAACAACAGTCCACACTTTCCACCCCACCAGTCTCTGCATTCAAAGGACCATCCTCTGCCATTTCCAACAGGATACCACCACCAGCACATCTTGCCCTCCCATACTGTCAGTGTTCCTCAGGGACTGTTTCCTCCTCAACATCCTGGTCCATTCCTCCATTACTCTGAACACTTCCTCACTCCCCTCCAGGCACCTTCATGCAATTGCAGAAGGTACAACGTTTGCTCTTTCACATCCTCCATCGTCACTGTCCAAGGATGCAAACACTCCTTCCAGGTGAAGCAGCAGTTTACTTGTACTCCTTTCAATCTAATCTACTGTATTTGCTCCTCACCACGCAGTCTCCTTTACTCTGGTGAGATTTAATGGAGCATGGGTGACCGATGTGTGGAACATCTCTGTTCTGTCCTTAGGAATAACCCCGTGGTCCCAGTTGCTTGCCATTTGAATAAACCATCTTGCTCCCATGCTAATATTTCTATCTTGGGCCTGCCACACCGTTTCAATAAAGCTCAACACTCGCTGGAGGAACAACACCTCATTTTCCACTTAAGCATTTTACAGCCTTGAAAACTCGACACTGAGTTCAACATCTTCAGCCCAAGAACACTATCCTCCATTTTGATGATATCGCCACCCTCATCCGAACCAAAACTGTGTGCTGTGCTTTCAGCAGACCAGACCCATCTTCTTTTTCACACCGATCTTAAACACACAATTCACATCTCTATCCTTCCTTTACTACAATTAGCATCCCTGTCTTTTGCTCTGGGCAATTATTCCACTTGTACTTCTTTCCCCTTTGTCAGCACCATAAGACCACCATTTTTCAACATCTTTGGTTCTGAAAAGGAGTCATACCAGACATAAAATGTTAACTCTGTTTCCTTCTCCATGGGTACTGCCAGACCTACTGAGTTTTTCTGGCATTTTCTGTTTCTATTTCAGATTTCGGGCATCAACAATATTTCGCTTTGATTGGGTCAAATGCTGCCTTGATGTTAAAGGCAGTCACTCTCACATCATCTGTTGAATTCAGCTCCTTTGTCCATGTAACAAAGTCAGGAGGTGAACAGCACTAGCAGATGCCAAAGTGAGCATAGGTGAGCATGTTATTGCTGTGAAAATGTTGTTTAATAGCCTTGTCAATGAAACCAACCATCACTTTCTGATAACTGAAGGAGCGATAGTTGGCCACATTGGATTTGTCCTACCATCTGTGGAAGAGACAGAACTGGGAATTTTGCACACATTTTTGGTTAAGTTTCAGTGTTTTGGCTGTGCCAGAACAGTTTAGATAGGGTGCAGTTTTTCTGGAGCTCAAATCTTCAGGATGTTGTCAGAGCCTATAGCCTTTGCTGCATCCAGTTCACAAGGTGATTAGTTTGTGAATAACTCTTTAAGCAAATCATCACTATCTTTTTGTTTTAAAAGTGTCTGCTATGACTAGGACCAGACTGCCATCATCATTTGACCGGGAACAGCATATAGAGTCAGAGAGACCAGGTGCAGTGCAATCATGTGATCAAAAGGTAGGAACCTGGGGACATGAGGCTGAAGATTTAATGTGATCAACATCACGTGACATGAGTTGGCAAACCCAGCAGATGGAAGGATCTGTTTCTAGAGATAGTAAAAACTGCAGATCTGTTTCCAGTTCTTTCGTGATGTTATTTTTAACCTGAGGTTTTTTTTTGTGGACTGGCCTCCATGTGGCAATTTTTCCCCATGAGCACATGTATTGGAAGCTGGAGTGGGTGACTTCTGTCTATTAACATTCCATCTGGGCATTACCTCTCCATGCCTTCTCCTCATGCCAATACACCCTGCCCAAAATATTCTGAAGACATGCTTAAATAAAGTCAGTGTACAATAATACTTGCTTGTCAAACGCTGAATTCAATAACAACAGAAAACGGTAGAAGATTATGAAAAGATTCAAGTTAAATCGGAGAAAGACTTCACCAAATCGGAAGGCTGCCATGGGCATGGTTCCCAGTAACTCACCTGCACTTTTAGGACAAGTGTAAATGCAAGCCCAGCTTTCCCAGCTCGAGCAGTTCTACCAACTCTGAAAATCAGAGAGACAGTACAGGAAATTACAACCAAATAGGAACACAGGACACAGGCAGAACACGTAGCAGCATCTGAACAGGAAGAAACAGGCCGACAAGGTCCAAAGTCAATTTGCTCAATGTCTAACTAATCCCTTTACCTCACAATTAATTCATCCAAAGACAGTGATATAATACTACATTTCTCTCTGAATTGGAGTTGATGTAGCAACATGAGCTTTTAAATCCAGGTTGTAGTTTAAGCTATGATAGAAGCTCCAACATTTCTTTCCATCACACGGCTGACCAGGAATCACTTCCACTCTAACCACCTGCCATTGGTGTGTGTTGAAGAATTTTTGGCTGATACAGAGATTCATACATACATGATGCATCAGTTAGAGAAACTAGATAATGATCTGTCCTTTTGCCTGAGCCAGTACTCACTGTACTCAACCACTGCTTCTATGGGTCAAGATACTGTCTCCTTTCTCATAACAAAACATTGATATTGGTGTCACATTTTTGGCCTTGTCCTTAGTGTAATGGAAATTCCGGCAACAGACAGCAACAGTGAGGGCAGGAACTGAGCCAGGGAGCTCGAGCAGTTGTGTTGGCACCTCCAACACCAGGCAACGACGGTGAGGGAGGGCAGCTGCAGCAGTCAAATTGACCCTGTTTGGAGAAAAAAGGGTTGTCTTTGGGGGAAGGAGGCCTGATGAGAACAAAGGGCAGAAAAAGGATTCCTCAACCCAAATACTTCGTTCCCTGTAAATACTTCTTATTTAACCTTAATTTTCCTTTATGTTTGTCATCACCTGATGCCAGTCAAATAATGAATCCCTGCCTCTGGATCTCTGGGTCTTCCATGGGTTCAAACCTCATGTTACACCAGTTTTGGTGCATTAATAGAGAATTCGGATACACTTCAGATATGGTGTTATGGTGTTATAGTGTTGCCTGGTGCTCTTAATTCATCCCTTTGGAATGACCCCACCATGATGGGGAGTTAATGGTGTCATCATTATTGTCACTGGGTTAGTATTCAGAGGACAAGACTCATGCCCGTAGCAGCCGTTGGAATTTATATCCAATAAATTAAACTAATTTTATTTCTCAGATTCAGAGTTCCATGACTGAACCTATCCCTGTTTGCCGCAAGTGTTCTTTAGGGAAGGAATTCTGCCATCCTAGTCTACCTGTGGCCTTAGATCCACTGCAATGTTGTTTATTTTTAGCTGGCCTCTGAAATGGCTTAGGAAAACAGCCATTGGGCTGTTAAGCTTTTGTCAGTAACACCCACATTCAACAAAAGAATAAAGACATGTGATAGATCTGTCCCTAACCATGTTACAGATTGTGGTGCTCTCCCCTAGGTGTCAACTGGAAGGATAGACTGTGTAATTTCAACAATTCCATTTGTCCCACCATTACTCACAGCAACAATCTGAGATAAGAGTGGGCAGTTAAAAACTTTCAGAACAGATACTTTGGAGTATTGTGTATACCAGTACTGTGGTATTGGTCAATATCCTATTACAGTCTGGTGATTAAAACTAAGAACTGATGGAGATTACAGAAAAGTACATCATACAAATAGCTGCCATGTGATTCTGAGAGTACTGGGTTAATCTACTGACAAATGATAAATCATATCCATAAGCTTGGATTGGTTTTATGTACACGTGAATTAAAATTAATTCGGTTCAAAACAGGCTTAATGGCTTCTGGATTCCTTTCTGGATACCAAATGCTGCCATTTGATACATCATTGAAATGTTTAGTTTCAATATTGTTTCAAAGGTAAGAAGGGAAGGCTGAGTAGCTGAACCAACTGCTCACCTGTGGATGTATGTCCTGATGAACTGTGGGGCATCATAGTTAACCACACATGTGACACCTTTAACATCAATTCCTCTAGCACTTGCATCTGTGCTGATCAGTCTGAGGGAGAAAGTATTGCAAATGAGACTATTATAGCAAGTTGGATTCCAGTCCATAATTGCATCAGCACACACTATCAAAGAGTAGTCTCTGGAGTAGTCAGACAACTCTAGCGAGCAAAAAAAAATCTGAGATATCATTTACACACCAGCATGACGAGGAAGGACAGAAACCTGGTGTGAATCTTCTAAACACTCCAGGCCTAACTTCCAATTTCTCTCCAAAGCCTATGGATTTCCCAGATCCATGGTCATCTCTCCAGTACCTTCCTGTTTGAAACTTTCCAATCAGGTTTCCACTGCAACCACATCTCTGACAACTCTGACTAAAGTTACAAAATATTCTTCATGACTGATCTCTGTGCGCTATTTCTCTTCATCCTCTGTTGTAGCTTTTGACAATATCACTCACACCATTCTCCAAAATCTTTTTCCTTGATCAATTCAAATCGCACATAAAACATTTCCAACATTAACTTAATTTCTCACCTTACATGCTCAATTTGAGAGTTTGCCAAGGATCTATCCTCACTCTGCACCGCCTCATCATCCTGACATGGTGATACCATGCACAGAAATGGCATCAATTTCTACACGTTAAGGATAGCTCTCTCTCAACACCACAACTCTCGATCAATCAACTCTGACCTGTCGCATTTTGCCCAACGTCCAGTTTTGGATGAGCTCAAATTTCTTCTACACATTTGGAACACCTAGCGCATTGTCTTTGAACCCCATTACAAACTTTGATTTCCTGTCGCTGTTCTCAGTCTCAGTGTCCTATTCAACAACTCAGCTGTTTGCCCTGTGGTTACCATGCTTATAACTATCCCCATTTCGGACAGAGATGAGGAAGAATTTCTTCTGTCAGAGGATGGTGAATCTATGGAATCCTTTACCACAGAAGCTGTTGAAGCTGGGTCATTAAGTATATCCAATACTGAGGTAGACAGATTTTTAATCTTATCTTATTCACTTGTGGGACTTGGGCATTGCTGGCTTGCAAGCATTATTAGTGGCCCTTGAGAAGATGTGGTGAGCTGCTTTCTTGAACCACCGCAGTCCACATGTTGTACGTTGACCCACAATGCCATTAGGCAAGGAATTCCAGGATTTTGACTCAGTGACAGTGAAGGAACAGCCATATATTTCCAAGTCAGAATGGTGAGTGGCTTGGAAGGGAACTTGCAAGGGGTGGTGTTCCTATGTATTGCTGCCGTTGTCCTTCTAGAAAGAAATGGTTCGGAAGGTGCTGCCTAAGGATCTTTGGTGAATTTCTGAAGGGCATCTCTTAGATATAGACATTGCTGCTACTGAGCATCAGTAGTGGAGGGAGCGGATGCTTTTAGATGTGGTGCCAATCAAGACAGTTGCTTTGTCCTGAAAGGTATCAAGCTTCTGGAGTGTTGCTGGAGCTGCACCCATTGAGGCAAATGGGGAGTATTTCATCGCATTATTGACTTATGCCTTGTAGATGATAGGAACACCACCCAACATGTACCATCCAGCAGATACTCATGTGATTCAGCCAATGTTGTCTATCTCATACGCTGCAGGCAAGGACGCCCTGAGGCATGGTATATTAGCGAGACCATGCAGATGCTATGACAATGGATGAATGGACACTGCGCAACAATTGCAAGACAGGAATGTTTCCTCCCAGTCGGGGAACACTTCAGTGGTCAAGGAGATTCAGCCTCTGATCTTTGGGTAAACACCCTCCAAGGCAGCCTTCGAAATACACAACAACGCAGAATCACTGAGCAGAAACTGATTGCCAAGTTCAGTACCCATGAAGATGGCTTCAAATATGATCTTGGGTTCATGTCGCGCTACAGGTGACCCCACCACACTGTTGTATCTGTAAAATCTTCCTTACTGTCCTGTTTTGACACCGTCACCTTGATAAATTGTTACGATCTCTCTACCTTAATTAGTTTGTACAGTTTTGGATTATTTATTACATTGGTTAGACCCTCGGCATGTGACTCTTATACCTGTCATGTTATTCCAGTCGTTTGATCTGTCTCCAGCACCACCTTATTTTTAATTTCTTGTAATTATCCTTCTGCCTCATTTAATCGAATTATAGGTCATCCCTTCACTTGTTATTCAGCTGTTGACACTTTTACTCACACCATCTAATACTTTTGATACCTGCAGGAACTTATTATTCGACATTCCACTCATGCAATTTGTTTGATCTTTTGATCTCTCTGCCCAGTGATCTCTCTGCCTATAAATTCTGTGTCTGTGCACTTCTTTCTCACTTCACCTGATGAAGGGACAGCACTCCAAAAGTTTGCGATTACCTGTTGGACTATAACCTGGTATTGTGTGACTTCTGACTTTGTCCATCCCAGTCCAACACTGACACCTCCACAACACTGCAGATGGGGGACAGACTTTGGGGATTCAGGAGATGAGTTACTCGCCATAGTATTCCTAGCCTCTGACCAGCTCTGGTAGCCTGTGTTTATGCAGCAAATCCAGTTGACTTTCTGGTCATTAGCAAACTCAAGGATGTTGACAGTGAGGGATTCAGTGGTGGTAACACCATTGAATGACAAAGGGTCGTGGTTAGATTGTCTCTTATTGGAGACAATCATTGCCTGGCATTTGTGCAGAGTGAATGTTATGTATAACTTGTCAGTCCAAGCCTGGATATTGTCCAAATATTGTTGCTGGGTCTGGGTGGGATTGTCTTCAGAGGGTCAGTACAGACTTGATGGGCCAAATGCCCTCTATCTGCACTGTAAGGATTCTGTGATTCTGTGAATGATCATTTCTCATGTTTTATGGTATGTATTATGGTAATGTTGTCCATCTCTGCTACCATCCCATCAATACCATTGTGAGTGCCAGACTAGATCATTCCAAGACTCTTATGGCTGGTGTGTCATCTTCTATTCCTGAAAAGCTTCAGCTTACCCAAAACTCTACTTCCCACTTCCTGACTCCCTTCAAGTCCTATTCAACCATTGCTAGAGACTTGCTGATTTATATTGTTTTCCAGTATCTGAATGACTAAAATGGAACATTTTTAATCTTCCATTTAAATCCCTTCACAGTCCGACTCCTCCACATATCTGTTATCCCACAAAACTGAAATCCAGTTTCCATTGTTCCAGAGTCTGGAGAGTTGTATAACTATCATCTCACCATTGACATAGAACCCACGCCCTGGAATTCCTGTCCCAAACTCCTCTACCTCATTCTCCAATTTTAAGATGCTCAGAAGTTAAAGCTGAACCTAACTTCTTGACCCCATTCCTTCGTTAGCTTTCTTGCTGCACGTCTCTGTGATTGCATTAGAATATTTTTCTAGCTTAAAAGCTTTATGTATATGTAAGTTGATGTCTTGACGTCTTGATGTCTGAATCCCTTACCATAACAGCAATCAGTACACATATACATATATGCCATCTAAACAGCAACAAATGAAAGCAAATCAAACCACATGATCACAAGCACACACTTACATTTGGAGATTTCCTTTCTCGAACTCTCTCAGAGTCTTTCGTCTTTCATTGGGGGAAAGCCTGGAAGAAAATTCTGCCACTGCTATGCCACCAAAGGCACGAAGTAATAGATACAACCTGCAACACACAACAAACACCTTAGAGACACTGGTCAATGTGTCTAAATAGAAACAACTGTGTCACTGTGACCATTGATTGTAAACACAAACAGCTCAGTGTCACGCTAACCACTGAGCATGAACACAGACAACTCAGAGTCACACCGACAATTATGTGCAAACACTGGCGACTCAGTGACACACAGACCAAAGATATGATTACTTTTACCAATAATTTTGTAGTTACCTGTGCGATGCATCTCTGGAGTTGGTGAAACATAGGATACGACTGAATTTCATTCTCAGGACAAAGTAGAGGATTATCAGAGGCTTCTTTCTAAGATTGCATGGTACAATGAATTCCTGCAAGAGACAGCGAAATACCTCTCTTTTGATAAAGTTTAAAATTATACGTCTTGAAAATTGTAAACAGAAACAGGTTTGAAATATCTGCCGTATAGGAATGTCAGCTCATCACTGAATCTATCAAAGTTGTAGCAGAGGGAACATGGTTGGCTTTAGATAAAGATTCCCCAAGTTAGTTCAGTAACCTAAGAAAAGGCCCATGATGGAAAGTCTCAAATAATTACCAGATAGCTCACCAGCTTGGGATTATCATCAATACATTTCCCTTCGCAGAAACCCGACCTTGGCATGTTGCAAAACGTTGTTAAACTTTATCACTGGGCTAAATTTTCCTCTCCCATTCATAGAAAGAAATGAAACAAGAGGAGGTGGCCATTCACACCTCGAGCCTGCTCCGCTCTTCAACCAGACCAGGGCCAATCCTCTATCTCAATCGACTGATCTCTGTCTTAAACATACCCAATAACTGAACTTCCGTAATTCCCTGAGGTAGAAAATTCCAAAGATTCATTACCCGCTGAAGAAAGAAATTCCTCATGTTAGTCCCAACTGGCCTACCTCTTACAGCTACAATGGGCAATGAGTATGGGATCCTGACAGGAAAGCATTGGAGATGAATTCAGAAGAAGAACCCAGTGTGGTTCTGTGGCAGCATTCCTGCTATGGCAGAAGATCTTGGATCACCGTGACTTTCCATCCAAACCTTCAAGAACCTCCCACCTTACATCTGGTAGAGTATGCAAATGGTATACTTGACTCATTCGCCATCTTGGAACCCATCACAGCAGAGGAAAAGCAAGTCACACTGAAACCCAAGGAACTGCCTATGAATGTGGAGAGAAATAACCAGAGGTTTGAGTGCCCCTCAGATAATTTCATACATATTTGTTGGAGACTGGGGTTAGGCGATCTGCCCTCACCTTTCTCTCTTCCACCAACCTACACCCCAACCAACTCCTTATGTTTCAGTTGTTGAGCCACCCAATCCCTTACTCTGACATTTTCTCCCTATACCTCTCCAACTCCCTCTCCACTGTTAAGACACACAAAATACACCAAATTGACAAAAGCTTTGGTTGCCCCTCCTAGTATCTCTCTGACATCATTTTCAAAATCAAGTACACCTTTGTGGAGCAGGTTGGAACATCTTTCCATATTACAGGTGTTACAGAAGTGCAGTTAATTGGTGTGCAATACAGCAAAGGACATTGAGAGATACCTGTAACTAGATAGGAGGCCTGTGTTTATAGAGTGGTTGGAATCAGAGTGCAATGAGTCATCAGAGAACAAAGAACAAAGAAAATTACAGCACAGGAACAGGCCCTTCGGCACTCCAGGCCTGCGCTGATCCAGATCCTCTATCTAAACCTGTCGCCTTTTTTCCAAGGATCTGTATCCCTCTGCTCCCTGCCCATTCATGTATCTGTCTAGATACATCTTAAATGACGCTATCGTGCATGCCTCTACCACCTCCACTGGCAACACGTTCCAGGCACCCACGACCCTCTGCGTAAAGAACTTTCCACGCATATCTCCCTTAAACTTTTCCCCTCTCACCTTGAAATCGTGACCCCTAGTAATTGAGTCCCACGCTCTGGGAAAAAGCTTCTTGCTGTCCACTCTGTCTTTACCTCTCATGATTTTGTAGACCTCAATCAGGTCCCCCCTCAACCTCCGTCTTTCTAATGTAAATAATCCTAATCTACTCAACCTCTCTTCATAGCTAGCACCCTCCATACCAGGCAACATCCTGGTGAACCTCCTCTGCACCCCTTCCAAAGCATCCACATCCTTTTGGTAATGTGGCAACCAGAACTGTACGCAGTATTCCAAATGTGGTCGAACCAAAGTCCTATACAACTGTAACATGACCTGCCAACTCTTGTTCTCAATACCCTGTCCGATGAATGAAAGCATGCCGTATGCCTTCTTGACCACTCTATCGACCTGCGTCGCCACCTTCAGGGTACAATAGACCTGAACACCCAGATCTCTCTGTGCATCAATTTTCCCCAGGGCTTTTCCATTTACCGTATAGTTCGCTCTTGAATTGGATCTTCCAAAATGCATCACCTCGCATTTTCCTGGATTGAACTCCATCTGCCATTTCTCCACCCAACTCTCCAATCTATCTATATTCTGCTGCATTCTCCGACAGTCCCCTTCACTATCTGCTACTCCACCAATCCTGTTATGCGAGGAGTCAGAGAAAATGAGTGAGATTCTTAATGAGTACTTTGGGTTGGTATTCACTGAGGAGAGGGACATGACGGATGTTGAGGTTAGGGATAGATGTTTGATTACTCTAGGTCAAGTCGGCATAAGGAGGGGGAAGTGTTGGGTATTCTAAAAGGCATTAGGGTGGACAAGTCCCCAGGTCCGGATGGGATCTATCCCAGGTTACTGAGGGAAGCCAGAGAGGAAATAGCTGGGGCCTTAACAGATATCTTTGCAGCATCCTTGAGCACGGGTGAGGTCCCGGAGGACTGGAGAATTGCTAATGTTGTCCCCTTGTTTAAGAAGGGTAGCAAGGATAATCCAGGTAATTACAAAGATAGCAAGAACTTCAGATGCCGGAGTAAGAGACAACACAATGAGAAGCACAATAGGCCAGGCAGTATCAGAGGAACAGGAAAGGGACCCTTCTTTAGAAATGGGGAGGGGGAAGGGAGCTGGGAAATAAATAGAGAGAGGAGGGGTGGAACTGGGGAAGGAAGGTGAAATGGTCCTGGACCTCTCTGTCTCCATCTCTTGTAACCGCCTCGGAACCGACATCTATTTCAAGCCCACCGACTCCCACAGCTACCTGGACTACACCTCCCCTCACCCACCCTCCTGCATGAATGCGATCCCCTACTCCCAATTCCTCCACCGCATCTGCTCCCAAAATGGAGAGTTCCACTCCTGAACATCCCAGATGTCTTCCAATTTCAAGGACTGTAACATCCCTCTCTGGTGATCAAAAATGCCCTCAACCACATCTCTTGCGTTTCCTACACTTCTGCCCTCACAACCCCTCCCCCCAACAAAAATAAAGACAGAATCCCCCTTGTCCTCACATACCACCCCACCTTTGCATCCAGCGTATCATTCTCCACCACTTCCACCACCTACAATCTAATCCCACAACCAAAGAGATATTTCCCTCCCCACCCCTATCTGCCTTCTGTAGGGACCGTTCTCTCCACGACTCCCTTGTCCGCTCCACACTCCCCACTGGCCCCACCACCCCCGGCACCTTTCCCTGCAACCGCAGGAAATGCTACACCTGCCCTCACATTCATTCAAGGCACAAAACAAACCTTCCACATTAGACAGGGGTTCACCTGCACACCTGTCAACTTGGTGTACTATATCCGCTGCTCCCGATGTGGCCTCCTCTACATTGGTGAGACCAAGCGTAGACTCGGAGGCTGTTTCATCTGCGCTCTGTAAGCAACAAACGACAACACCTTCTGGTCGCCAACATTTTAACTCCCCTCCCACTCCCTTGATGACATGTCCATCCTGGGCCTTTTTCAGTGTCACAATGACACCATTCACAAACTGGAGGAGGAGCACCTCATATTCCGCCTCAGGAGCCTACAGCCCGATGGCGTAAACATAGAATTCACCAGTTTTAAAATCTCCCCGCCCCCAGCCTCATCCCATGTCCAACCCTCCATCTCATCCCCGCCTCTTTGACCTGACACAACCTGTCCATCTTCTCTCCCACCTATGCGCCCCACCCATCCCGCTGATCAATCCCCACCACTCCCTACCTGCACTCAGCTATCACCATCCCACCTACCTTCTCCAGTCCGACCTCTCCTCTCTCTATTTATTTGCCAGCTCCCTTCCCCCTCCCCATTTCTGAGGAAGGGTCCCAACCCGAAACATCAACTTTCCTGCTCCTCTGATGCTGCCTGGCCTGCTGTGTTCCTAAAAAAAAAAATCTATATGTGTTTTAGAGGTTTTTTTAACATTGCAAAGGTATTTTGAAAAAGCCAAACTTTTTGTTTTAAAAAGTAAGGAGTTCTGTTTTCGTTCCGGAGAGTCCTACATGCAGTCAGCTCCAGAGAAGACTTCTTTTTCTTCAAGGAATTTTTGAAGAGGATGGTTTTTATTCAGTTAATCAGCTAAGTGGGTTTTTTTTTATGTTTATATATTGATTTTTTTTTTCCCCATTTTTACATTATTTTCTGTAGGTAATGAAAGGTAGTTTATTTATCTATAAGGTGTTATTGAAACATCATTTTTTTTAAGACTTAATGTTATTAAGGCCAAACATAACATACAGAATGAGATGGCTAGTAGATTTAGAAAAATTATTACCCAGCAGGATCAGTTAGATAGACGGGCGACTGTCAGGAAAGTTAAGAAGGTAGTTCAAAAGTCTCCAGCAGCTATTCCTCTATCAAATAGATTTTCAGATTTTGGAACAGTTGAAGGGGATAGTCTCTCCGAGGAAAATGGAAGAACCAGTCAGTTATTGGACACTAGGAACAATTCTTTATGTTGGGCAGCGCTTGACAAGATTTAACAGAATTACTGTTATAGGGGACTCTCCTGTCAGAAGCATAGACAGACGATTTCTGTGGCAGTAAGCGTAAATTTAGGTTTGATACTTTCCTGGTGCTAGGATCAAGGATGTTTCTAAACATTTCAAGCATATTGTTAAAGGTGAGATTGAGAGCCAGAAATTATTGTACACATTGGTAGGAATGACATTTTTAGGCGAAAGATTAAAGCAGTACAGAGTGAATTTCAGAGGTTAGGTAGAAGATTAAAAAGTAAAACCTTAAAAGTAGTAATTTCTGGTTTATTCTCAATGCCAAACTCAAACAAGGGAAGGAACAAAAGGTTAAAGCAGATAAATCAATAGCTATACAGCTGGTGTATTGTTCAGGGATTCGGGTTTTTCGACAATTGGGCTGTCTTTTGGGATACAGAAGACCTTTTCAAAAAGGATGGGTCGAACCTAAACTGGAAAGGAACCAATATCTTAACAGGGGGAT